TACCACCACATCTGGCTAATTTGAAAATTTTTTTTATAGAAATGAGATCTTGCTATGTTGCCCAGGCTGATTGTGTTGGGCTCAAGCAATCCTCCCACCTTGGCCTCCCAAAGTGCTGGAATTACAAGTGTGAGCCATCACACCTGGCCTGATTTTTGAATGTTACCACAGCTGGAGAGAAGCATCTGGATGCACTGGGGCTGGGCCTGCAGTGGAGGCCTGTGGTTCTGTCCTGGGCTCCAAGACCAAACCCAGTGTCATCACAGGAGATAGGGAGCTGTGGGATGCAGCAAGGGGCAATGAAGGCCTCTGGGAGGGGAGTCAGCGAGCCTTAAAGGGATCTTACTTAGAGACATGGTCTGCAAACTCCAGGGTGGGGCTTTAATAGCAGTTTGTCAAAAGGATCCTTTATTGGAAACAACTTTTTAAGATTGGATTATGAGTCTTGTATTTAGGAGAATCAATCAATACTACCACTGGTCTTTATCACTGCTACTCAAACTCTACCCTTCCTCAAGTGATTTCTAAAATCTCTAACATCAGAAGAGTCCATGAAGACCCCCTCTGAACCTGACCTGCTATTATGAGATTCAGTTCCCCCAAACGGTTCAGACAAATCATCTTTTTAAAGCTTCAAAGTGTACTTTCCAAACAGCATCCTGCTAGTCCACTCAGGTCTTTTGGGATCCCCGTCCAGCCTGCCACGCCTGGCCCCAGCCCCATGTCTCCTGGGCACTCAGAGCAGATGGCCCAAGACAGCAGCTTGTGGCCACCTCTGCACTCCGGGTGGCCATGCAGGGCAGGATGATACTCGCTTGGTAGTGTCAGTGTGAAGGGACTTCAGGAATGCAAGTGACAGTGGTTGGTCTGGACACCGACGCTTGGACGGGGGGACCCAGGGAGAAGGGAAGAGAAGCTTGGGGTGATGGGGTCCGGGAACACCTGCCTCAGGGGTTAGGGGAAGGCCAGGTTCACAGGAAGAAAAGGCGCCCCCACCTTGGAACACACTCATGTCAAGAGACATCATGTGACAAAGATGTTTCTCTAAGTACAGATGCCTCTCTCAAGGGAACAGGGGAGGACAAAATCGTTTCTTGGTGATGCCACTTGACTTTTGGGTGTATCTGATTCTCCTGTTTCTGGGGACATCAGAATTTCAAGATGTGATGGTTCCTGCCATCATGGGGCTAACTCTCTCTGAAAACAGTTTTAGGGTGCCTGAGCCCTCCTCACCTGCCACTGCATGGAGAGAGCCTTGTGCTAGGGAAGACAGGCTGGGCCCGGTTGCAGCCCCTTTGGAACCTGAGGGGTGGTATGTGTATGCGGTGCTACATGAAGGTGGGAACAGAGTGGGCTGATTTCAGCAGAGACGTATGAAGATAATTCCTTTCTGAGCTAGAGGTGGAAGTAAACTGAAAAATGGTCTGGTATGGAGGACAGACCATCCCCAGGAGGCAAATGCAGCATCCCACCACTGCCAGACCCATCTGCATGGATCACATCTTCCTCCCAGGACACAGATAGCTCATTGTGGTTGAGGTCTTGTCACCAGGCACCCTGAATGCCTTTGGGTGGATGGTTTAGACCCCTCCACACCTGGCTGGGTCAGGCTGTGTGAGGACAGGCTGTAGGCTGTATGCTTGGCCAATGTTTGGACAAGGCCTGTCCAGTCTCCTGGCTTGGCTCTTCCCTCCTGAGGGTTGTTATCTCTTTCTCTCTAGACCTTCTGTTCACAGGTGCACAAGTTCTTCTGCCTGAACAGCCTCACTGAGACAGCCCGACAGCACCCACACAGGGCCTGCATCTGCCTTGCATGATGCCATGCTTAGAAATGTCACCTAGGAGTCACAAAATCTCTCCTCTGCACTGTCAGGTGAGAAACAGGTGGTCACTCAAGGCTGCTGGAATCTTCCCCACCTCAAGGCTGAGCTCATCTGCAGACTGTTGTCCAACGGGTACCTGGATCTCCCAGTCTCTAATGACCCCAAACCCTGTCTCTTCCCTAAGGGTCATTATCTATGGGATTTGTCCTGTAGGTCAGGCACACCTGGTAAGTTAAGTCTCCACACACTGGGTCACTAGTCCCCACAAGCAACTGTTGGTGAGTTCCTAAACTTCCAGGCTGGAGCTCAGCAGTCCTATGAAGTACCACCAGCGCACCAGTGAGGTCACAACTTTCCAATCCCCCTGACCCTGCAGAGAGGGTTCCCTTTCCCTGTGGGCAGGGCTTTCTCCAAGCCTCCATTCCTACTACCCACCTGCCCTGTTCTTTGGCAGACCCCTTCCCACCCAAGCCTTGTACAAAGTCCACGCCGGGAGGCAAGATCCTGTCTCTGCAGTGGGAGAGGGTGGGGAGCAGAGCCAGCAGACAGGCAGACCTGGGCCAGATGCCAGAGTCAAGAGCCTCCTAACAGCTTCAGCACCCTCTTCTTGGCATGGGGTCACCATGGCGCAAACTGGGTTGCCGAGGGTTTCATCAGATGAATGTTGCTGGAAGGGTCTTCCCACTCCCTTCCTCATTCAACACAAAGTATCTGCCATGTGCCAGGCCCGTGCTGGGTAACAAGGGTGACTGAAATAGCCTGAGGCAGGGTCCCTTGACAAGCTGCCCACTGGGACTAGGGTTCTTAGTGGCCCCAGACGATCTCAGTCCCTGCTGTTCACCTTGGTCATGGTGCCACAGAGCATGTGGCATGGCCAGGATTAACCTTGGTCTTGCTCTTTAGTTCTAGAGAGAGGAAGGCAAGGAGACTAGGTTTGAGTGGAGGGGCTGTTGGTCTCAGAGGAGGCTATACTAAGAAGCAATAAGGAACCAACAGCCCTGAAGGAGTGGGGCAGGAGTCCTGGGCTGGGCAACCAAGCCACCAGCCACAACTTAAGTAAGCCTCTCACTTTTGTAACTAAAGCACAATAAGGGACTGAACCACAAAGACTCTGAGGCCCTGTCCAGCTCCAGGCAAGAAAGCCTAGAACAGAGAGGTAGCAGTGAGGCTGGCCAGGGTCACCTCCCAGGTACAGGCAGTTTTCCTCAAGTGTTTCCTATCCCATCCCTCTCCAGGGAGAACAGCCTTGACCTCACTCAGCAAAAGGTGGCGCACAGACCATAAGTGCCCCCACAAGCTCACCTGAGGGCAGCCACGTCCCCTCATGAGGATGCCAAACACTGGCATACCAGGGGCTTATGAAGCAACCCCAGTGCACGCCCCCATGGTGGTCCCAGCAGACCTGCACCAGCTGCGCTGACAACTGGCCCTGGACTTTGGTCTCATCACCCTCAAAGGTTCAGCAAGGGGCTGTGAGGGGCCAGCCAGGACTGGCCTGTATTCCATGGCACAAGGCTCTCTCTGTGTGCAGTGTAGGAACTGCTTGGGAACTCGATATGGAGGGATGGGTGACCCTGACACACAAGGGAGCTCAGTGATGTGGGGTTCCTCCCTCCGAAGACAAGGTTAGTCTGTTTGTCAGCAGCAAAAAATAAAACCAACAAAATAAGATAAAATGAACAAAACTGTATTCATGTGAGCTGGGGAGTCCCATGTTCTGGGGACACAGCACAGGTCTTCAGGACCCTGGGTCACATGGTGGCCTCTGACCACAGGGGAGGGAGCTTATCAAGAGCTGGCCAGGCTCTGGGCAGACAACTTTGCAGTTTCCATTCACAAAGTGTGCTATCCCGTCTCCCCCAGCTGAGCTGGCTGCCAGCTGGCCCAGCGGGAAGCAGATTTGAGGTGGGGGTGAGGTCTGTTTCCCAAGCACAGTGTTCTGGGCAGTGAGTTCTCCACGCAGCTGATGCCTCTTGGACACGTTTCCACACAAATCATGCTTGACTGTTCTCCCTCCTGCACTCTTCAGGGCAAAAAATAACCTATCAGAAAGTTCTGACTCCCCATGGCTGGTGAGGTTCCTGTCTGTTGTCTGACTGGAGTCTGGGGAGTGGGCATCTGAACCAGGCTGCTGCCCTGGGGAATATTCACTGGACACCAGGGTACTCGTATAGGCATGGTCAGAAAGTTGTTTCTAAGGTGGGTTATTTCTGGCCCTGGGAGTCTGCTTGGCGACTCCACTGATTAGCCTTTGAAATATCCTTTTTATTTTTTTTAGAGGCTGGGTCTTGCTCCTGTTACCCAGCCTGGACTGCACTGGTACAATTATAGCTCAATGTAGCCTAAACCCCTAGGCTTAAGCAATCCTCCTGCCTTAGCCTTTTGGTAACTGGGACTACAGGCATGTGCCACCATATCTGGTTTTTGTTTTGTTTTGTTTCTTTCGAGAGAGAGATGGGGCCGTGCTATATTGCCCAGGATGGTCTCAAACTCCTGTCTTTTAAGCAATCCTCCCGCCTGGCTTCCCAAAGCACTGGGATCACAAGTATGAGCCACTGCATCAGCCTGAAATATTCTTCATTTAGGCAAGAAATACTTCTCACAGCCTCAGGGTCCTAGCCCTTAAGACTGAGCAGGGTCAGAGGAGACAGGATGAGATCTCTGTGGAATGAGGGCGGGGGCAACAGAGAGGGAGAGCCTGAGATCTGACTGAGGAAGAAGCAGGTGGCTGGCCGCCTGGGCAGGCTCTGTGTCAGACAGTGGGTCATTTCCTGGTGGTAGCCCGTTTTGAGAGCTCAGCACAGGTAACAGCAGGTGTGCACCTGGAGACTGAGGGTCCGGGAGCCTGATGAGTAAAGGCAGCTCTCCAGTGGAATCACTCAGAATCCTGCACTCACCCTGAACTTTCAGGTAACAACAGAGTTCCAGGACCTGTTTGAAAGGATGTGAAGTGTATAGTTACATTCCTTTTTAAAAAATCCTGGTCAAAATCTTCTAGGATTTCTGAAAGCTGTGTGATGTCCTGCCCCAGGGCATTCAGACCAAATGGGAAACAATCCCTAAGAACTCTCCATGCTGGTGTTTGCTGTGTGCATGGGTCCAGGACCTCATGCTAGAATATGCAGGTAATGACCATACAAGAATTGTCTCAGCAGCAAATGTCAACACGCAGACCCAGACCGATTAAATACAGATTTATTGCAAACCAACACCGAGGAGCCAGAGCAGCTTTGCAGGCTGGACACCCCACTCTCCTGGGCCCCTAGACCAGGGGAATGAGTCACCCCGCTTTCCTCGGACCTCAGCTGGTGGGACTTAGTGGCCAAACTGCAGCTGTTGTGTCTAAAAAGAGAAAACAGATAGAGTGTGCCAGCTCTAGAGGCTGGGCCGGTCCAGGTTGGCGCATCGGGGCAGAGACAGCGGGGCTCACCAGGAGCGGGGAGTGCAGGGACAAGCTCTGCAAACACACCAAGCACCAGACACAGGGTAGCTACTCCTGCCACAGGGCCAACACCCAGCACTGCCCCCTCAGCTGCCCTCCTAGACACCAGTTTATTGTTTATTAAAGCCAGACAGGGAGGAGAAATGCAACACAAAATCAGGCAAAAAGAAGACAAGTCACCATGGAAGTGAATGACTCTCAAAGCCTCCCCACTTCATTGCTCCTGGAGGACTGTTCACAGGGTGGGGGCTGAAAGGGGGTCAACTCGGGGACTACAGGGAGAACAGGTGACACATACACCATGAGACCTCCTTTCATGAGGCAGCAAAGCTCTCGTGGGACAGCAGTGTGCAAATCCTGGAACCTTGATGGCAACTCCAGGAAAAAATGACAAAGGCTTTCTCAGGACCTCTCATAGGTAACAGAGTCATGGCTCCAGGACTTCCTCAGAAGGGCCTCACCAACTCAACAGACAACAGGACTCTCACATTCCAAAGGAGATCTGAGGGGCCCTCTACCCTCCCTTGACAATCAGAGCAACATGTCTGGATCCACAGAATATAACCCAGGGATACTTTCTCACAAGGGCTGTCAGTCACCAACCACCAACTCTCTCCTAGCCACCCCTACCCCAGGTGTTCACAGAGAGTGTGCATGGCCAGGGCTCTCTGTTCCCTGACTGTAGATTCCCTCAGCATCTGTGCTCCTTGATGCTCACTGGTCGTATATGACACCACGATGCAGAGACCTGCTGTTTGGCTTATTCATGCACTGAGCTTGATGGCCAGGCAAATGGACACTACTGGGTGGTGGTGGCACCACGTCCTTGGCGATCGGCACACAGACGGCCCCTTGAGTACACAGGGCACAGGCCCCTGAGATCCTGTCCCATGATTGGGTCTTCGCACCTCGGCTGGAGTCAGTCAGTAGCCACAGCTCTGGCCACAGACTCAGGGTTCCTGAGGTGGCGGCTGGTCCCTGGAGAACAGATGGGATGGGGCCATGAACTCTGGGGAGCGCAGTCCAGCACCTGACACAGAGGATGAGGACAGGGAAGTCTTTACTCTCTCTGGCTCAGTCACGGTGGGACAGTGTGCCTTCACTCCCCATGTAGAAATTCCTCCTCCCAGAAGCCCTTTAAGGCCAAGGCTGCAGGACCCATGGCTGACGTGCTCTGCTGATGAGCTGATGGACATACTGTGGTCTCCTCCTGAGGATGCCAGGTCTCCACTCCTGCCCACGCTTTGACACAGTACAACCAAAGGGAAGGTCTTATGGGGAGCCAAGCAGAGCATGCCATGCAGCGGTAGCCAGAAATCGTTCACTTCAACAAGAACCACAGCAAGGCAGCCATAATCAGAGGACAGAATCCCCATTGCATCTGGCCTGAGGCCAGAACCCATACTTGCCCCCAACATCTAGAACGTGCAAACAGGACTCCAGTTCCCACTGCTCTGTCTATGAGGCTGAGGCAGGCAGAGGACATTTACAAAGGGATGGGCAAGACTGCATGTGAATGTGCCCAATGAGAGGTCGAAGGGCAAGGAGTTTCCCAAAGCAGACCCAGGAACAGCTGCACAGCCATTCCATGCTCACCCTCATGCAAGCACTGAGCTCCATATACTACAACTTCAGTTTCACCCGAGAGCCCAATAGCCTCCATACCCCACCAGAAGAAAAGCAAGCAGAACAGCGTCAAAACAACAGCACACAGAGAGCAGGGAAGGAAAGAAATGCTGCCTGCAGTGGCTGGTTGCTGTGGAGACAAAAGCACGTGATCCCAGTTTGCTGGGCTGTCCCCTGCTGCATTTCAAACACCTTCACTCAGTGTCAGCCACCATGGCCACCACACAACAGCTGGCCCTGCACCTCTTCTCGAGCAGTCTGGAGATACAAGGTCAGGGTGAAAGGCCTGGTTCACCCTTGAAAGAAAGGATGGCTAGGGATGAACAGGGCGAGTGAGTCCCTGGAACGCAGGGAGCTGGGGGCAGCTGAGGACAAGCCCTCTGTGTCCCTGCTGGCGAAGGTTTCCTTTCCTTCCAGTCATTAAAATTGCACAGCCCCTGGGGAGATGTTGAACATGGCTGGGTCGAATCGCTGGCCTCGAAAGGGAGAGCCTTCAGCATCCCACCCCTTCTTCAGCATCTCATGGACTTTCTACAAACAGAAAATAGAGAGATTAAAAGAGATCACAAAGCACTGCATGCTTTCTCCCGGGGCAAACTCTGATTGCAGGCACAGTTTCTCTGCTTCCTCAGTGGTACTTGCCTGGCAAGTCAAACTGGCCAGAGGACCATAATGCCCTGAAGTAGCTTATGACCAGGGAGGCACTGGGTGACAGTCAATTTTTCTGCAAGACTGTGCTCCCTACGGACTGAATTTCTAACTCTCCATCTTCTGTCCCCAGCAAAGCACTGTCTGCACTTTATGGTTCATTTCCAGTCCCTTTTCCACCCGATCTCTGTCCAAATTCCAAACAGCCTATATGACCTACAGTCCCACCAGCTCTGACTAAGGTGTGAAGTGGGTGTTTCCCAGTCTCACTGGGCACTGACTAAGGTGTGCAGCCCCACTGGGGTCATAGAGAAGGTATCCCAGGCCCACTGGAGACATGACTAAGGTATGCAGAGGGGATGCCCAGTCCCCACTTCCCCAGGGAGGAAGTTCTTGGCATCAAGAACTGTATCAGACAATCCAGGGTTGACCCGGGATGTAATGCAGAGGAAGAGATCTCAGAATGTCCAACAGTGGACCCACTGCATTCTTGGAGACGCAAGAGTCAGTTGCCTGAGCTCTTCCCAACAGGTGACCATTCTGAAATGATTTAGCCTCCTCAGAAGCAGGCCCAAGCTAAGTGGTCATGGCCAGGGGATATCAGGAAGACTGTGCCCTTGAGGGAGGCACCTGCTAGTAGGCTCTCTTCCTCACAGCATCTCTGCATCACCCAGCTACTGTGATACCTGCAGTGCTGGGGACGATTTCTTTTCTGACCACAAGAAACAAAAGAGACCAGGGCCAGAGGTTACCGTACTAACGTGGCCCATGGTCCCTGTGATAGAAAGCCCTGCAGAATCGGCCAAGAAGACAGACACTTCTTCTCTGGTCACAAGGCTAACAGACTTGAGCAGCGTGGGTAATTCCTGGTGTCCGAAGAGGCTGCAGGACTCTCAGTACCACAGCATCTCCTTAAATAAAATACAACATTCCTGACAAGAAGGCTTTCTTTATCCTGCTTTTAAACTTAAGTGATATAGCAACAAGCTTATCAACGATACGTAATACATACTAGGGACTAATCAATATTACTTTCAACTTTTTACAGGCAACTCACATCAGAGACTTCAGAAAGATCATTCTGAGAACAAGGCACTGTTGTGGGAGCTGAGTGAGTGGCACATGCCAGTGGCTAGGGGTGCAGGAAAGGCTGCAAGAAACCCTCTTTGTGCAGCCCTGAAGGCCTGGCCTACACCTCTGCCCGCTGAAGGTATGAGGTTGGACAGTCCCAACCAAATGCAAGAAAGGATCCTTGGAGATGCAGCTGACCTCAGCAGGTGGCCACATGAGGCCTCTAAACCTTTAAACAGAGCCCAAGTCATGTGGAAGGCAAATGACAACTACAGAGTCCTGCAGCCACAACACTCTTATCCTGGGAGCCAGGTAGCTGGGTAGGGGGCCAACATAGGACGCTGAGAGTGCAAAGGGCAGATTACTGGATTTGATCTAACAATTGACCAGGTTACCACGGTCAGCGCTCAGACCTTTCTTGGGGCAAAGGTGGAGACCAGGCATTCTTGTGTGCCACCAAGTTCACTCTCATGACCAGAGATCATGCTAATGCTGGTATCTGCCTGTGTGACATCATGGTGTTAGGGTGAGCCTCACCAGGTTGGAGAGATCCTAGACACAGATACATCTGTAGACTGAGCAACGGCACCTGCACATTCCACATTCCCTTTCTAGGTGGGGGAATCCTGCTCAAAAGAAATTAAATTAGGGAAAAGATGAAGGGCATTAAATTTGTTGATTCTGGAAAAAGGTTATCTTATCTTACACCAAAGAATTTAAAACGATAAAAGTGTTATTATTTCAAAATAAAAACCCTTCAAAATACAGTGTCTGTGGCATTAGAAGCACAATTTGCAATCTTGGCAAATTTAGAAAATTCTGAGTTCACACCATAAATGGGCATCAACACCAGAGCACGCTGGTAACTGAGACTATGCCAATGTGCACAGCAGATGGAGGCTGACAGGAGAACCTGGCCCTGCCACCTCCTCTCTCCCTAGTGAGGCCTGGTGATCTCACTGAAGTGACCCTGACCATGCAATTTTCAGGAGGGTCCCTCTGTCTGTGAGGTATCTCTGATGACAGCTGAGTAAAATGTGGCTACTGCTACATGAGGCTACATAAGGGCACGGACCTACCTTTCTAGGTCTGTTTCTTCATTCAGTTAAAAAAAGCGGGGGAGGGGGGCTGTAGTCACTTAGTGATACCAAAGAATCTAAAACGATAAAAGTGTAGTCACTTCAAAATAAAAACGGTCCAAAATACAGTATCTGTGGCATTATAGTGTCTATCTGGAACCTCTGGGTGGTGAGCACCCCTGGGTGCTGAGGACCCTTCCCCAGGCCCCACCAAGCATAGAGATGTTGAGACTTCGGAATCAGCACCAGGCAAATGCTCAGATACCACTTGCCTCTGAGCCAGCACAGCCCTGAGAGGTAGGTTCATTCCTATCTGTAGCAGTGGGCCTGAGGGCTGGAGGATCCCTGGCCACTTCATAGCAGGTCAGCCTGGGCAAGGGGGTTACCCTGGGTCCTGCCCTTGTTCTACCAGCCCTGGACTCTTTCATGTCACTGAAGTTCTCCTAAATGCACCTCGCTCTGGGCAGGGACCGCATACTGCTTGGCCCAAGGGCAAGTCTACAACAGAATAGATTTAGACTCAAGACGCAGAGCTCTTAGCATCTCCAAGGTTCTTCTCTGGATCCTTCCTAACTGGGTCACTACCCAGCCCATGGGCTCCCCAGGGCTGGGTCACAAGCAGCTGTATGCCAGGCACAGGAAAAGCCCCCATGGCCTATCGTAAGGACCTTCTGCTCCATACTTGGCCTGTGTAGTGCCCCAGGGGCCAAGAAGACAGTTTCTCAGAGGATACCAAAAGGATGATCCCAATGCAATGCCCTCAAGCAGAGTGACAGGGCACAGAAGGGATGTTAGTTGCACCCTGGGATGCTGCATGTGTGCCAGCATGCATGTGTATACTACACACACAGTGTGTGGCGCTGCCATCTTTCACCACTTGAGGCTGGCATTGAGGATCTTGGTGGGGGCTTGAGGCCCAGAACTACCCTGGAAACTACCTCAGTTGGCCTAGAATGAACAGATCACCCTGTTACTGGTCCTGGGTAAGGGTCTGGGCAACAGCCACCAGAATGAGGAGCCCTCAGGTCTCTAAGAATGGAGAGACAAGAGCAGCCACTTCCTGGGGAGGATTATCAACGAGACTACAAAGCAAGGCTGAAATATGAAATAGCCTTTGGAGAAGGTAAGATTAAATTGGCTGGAATCCTAATGCCATGAGGCAAATCTATGTCCTCCTCACCCATGTGCCCCAGAGGATGGCGAGACTAGGCAATGTCAGAGAGTGCCAGCATAGAATGCAAAGAACACGGGAAAGTGAGAGGAAGGTCAAGGAGGGGGAAGGATATAAGAGAGGGAAAAGGGAAGTAGGAGGAAAGGAGGGGAGGGTGGGGGCAAGAATAGTGAGAAGAGGGAAGAGCCCATGGATTCTGACACCCCATGCATGTCCTGGCACTACTGGCAACTCCTATGTTTTAGACTTGCAGGTTCTGTAAATTCTGTTCAGAGAATTTGAGGATGTAGAAATAAAAACAGCTATAGAATATTCTAGCTTCTTCATATCTACAGAAAACTTTACTGAAGCCTTGACGAAATGCATAAATACAGCTCAAACCACAATAAATTTTATCATTTCTCAATAATAAAGATTCAGTGTCGGCATCTAGGGAAGATGCAAGGAACCACTTTCCCTCAGTCCCTCCATCCTGTAGCACAAAAAGATGCTTCCAAGGAGTACTCGGTAAGACTTCCTTCTAACCCACCCAGGACAATGAGTATCTGCATCGTGTTCTCTGGTCAAAACAGACTCTCTCCCCCAAGGGTTAACTCATGAATACATCTTGAACCCTCTGTGGACACACCACTGAACCTGGACATAGGGTGGGCAGGCCCCTCATATTCCCATCCCTATCCCCAACTGCTGCCACAAGAAGCCTCAACCATAGGGCAAAGGTTCAAAGACCAGCTTTTTGACTGGTGGTCTCAGGCAAATGCAGCATAACCAAACTGAACCTTGATCAGGCAGGTCTGTCTAAGCAGTTGAGCTGAGCTGAGCGAGCACTGCAGTAGTGCTGAGGCCACTGTGATCTCTGTACAGACTCTGGTTAAGCAGAGATGTCCTTAAACCTCACCCTGGGTAGAAGAGGGGACCAAGCCAAGAGGAACATTCTCTCCCTTAGAGATGCGGGCCAGAGTAGTCAGAGCTAGGAGTACAGAAAGGTCTGAAATCAGATCAGAGCACCTCTGCTACTTGGGTGACTGGGACCCTGAACACATTGTGTGACCTCAAAAAAACCCTCTGTATTGTGAAAAACAGACGGTCTTTTTAGAGGTACTGTGTGGGACCCACAGTCTAGTCAACTACCTAGATGTAGTAGGTACTCACTATATGCCCCTGGTATGGTGAGGATAGCTGAGGGGCGGATGCCAGTACTTCCCTCCAAGGGCTGCCCGACCTTGTAGGAGAAGGATGGGCTTGACTGTGTTAGCAGGCAAGCGTGGACACACAGTGGTGGGCTTGCAGAACCACCAACGGTGCATGAGCTGCATGGAAGCCAAGACGGGGACAATTCAGATAAACCATAAGATAAGGTTCCTCCAAGAGACAAACAAGAAGACAGGCAAGTCTGAGTGGCTTTCTCAGGTGTGTGTGTGTGGGCGGGGAGTATCTGTGTCTGTGGAACAAAAATAAGGAGACTGGCTCGTCCCTAGAAGCTGACCTTTCCCCATCAACTTGAGGCTGCACTTGGTCCACGTGCCCTGCCATGCTGCAGCCCAAACCCATGTGCTGCGTATATGGGACACAGGAAGTTAAAAATAATCTAAGGAAAGCAACCCTTTCTTCCCTAAATAGCTACTCTTGGGATTATTAAAATAGGAATAAAGAATGTATATATCCAATTAATCATTCTCTTTGCCACAGGCAGACTCTGTACTGGGCACTAAGCTGGTTAAACATGAACCTTCTTTCCACTCCCTACCCTGCTGCCAACCTCACAAAGCCCTTACACACAGACCTCCAACAGTTGGAGCCCTTACACACAGGCATCCGACATCCAGAAACTGGCCCTGCAGCCTGACTCCCTCCTGTCCTCCACCGAGGGTCTCACTAAGAGACTCTTAAAGGAAGGAGTTATGTGTGGATGAGGCAAAAACATGAAGGTCATCAACACACTCAATGTTACCAGGCTCTGGTGCAGGTGGGGTACATCTCACAACACCCTTTGAGGTCCTGCTACCTGGGCTCCTGGCCGAGGTGTGAAAACGTGGCTGAAAGACCAGAGTGCACCTGTCCTCGGGTCTCCTGCTGGACATGGCAGGGCAGCAAGTCACACATCCCTTTCCTCCCCACCAGCATCGCCAACCCCTCTGCCACTAGTCAGCCTTGTCACCAGCACAACGAGGGCCCAAAAAGCAGGCTTCTCAGGAGGCCTGCCGTGCTCGTACCAGCTCATGGCTCTGCGGCTTGCCCTGAAGCTTCTGGTGGTAGTCGAAGGTGAGCCTGTCCAGAACCGCCTGCTCCTCCTCATCCACAGTGGCCATGGAACGCTCTTTGTTGATCTTGTCGATGTCTATGGGCTCCTCTCCCTCCAGGATGGCATTCCACCAATACTCGCCCACCTTGCTCAGGTTCACCTGGGGACAAGGAGGAAAGAGACCCGAGTCAGGGTCTGGAGACACAGCAGAGCTTGCCAAGGGACAAGCATCCAGGACCAGTGACAGAACAGAACCTGCTAAAGGATGGACACTCAGGACAATTTCAAGACCAACTATACAAAGGGGAGTGGTAGACTGGAATATGTTCCAGAACCCTCTGAGCCTAAGAACACATTTGCTGCCTATGCTAACACAAGCTGGGAGAGGGGGGAATGACACCTAAGGGGATTGACATTCTGGGAGATGCCTTTGTCCTTCTTCACCAGGTCCTCAATTCTCAAGGCAGTGCCTATTCCATGTGCTCACCTTGTCCATTATCACTGAGAGGATGTTTTCCAAGACCCCTGAGGCACCCTCTGCACTACGATTGATCCCAGGCCATCCCAGCCTGTCCCTAAGCAGCCATGGAAGGCCCCACCTAGCTAGCTTGTCAATCACCTCGCTCTTCAATGATCTTCCTTGCTTCTAAGAGCAACACCCAGTGTCCTGCCACATTGGGGGAGAAGCTGGGACCTGCAAGGCCAAGGACTCAACCTGATCCATGGCAGAATCTCCCAGGGACCCTTCACCCTCGGACAGGGCACTCTAGTGCCCCACCCCCACTTCTTCCCTGGGGCCAGCTTTGTGGTATGAAGTGTCCCCCAGCCCCAATCTTTAACTTCTAGTGGCTTAGGAAAGAGCCACCATCAAGAGCTGACCCCAAACCTGGTCCAGGCTGTTTGGGCACCTCTGCAGAGATGGCATAGACCATCCTTGGTCAAGGGAGCAGTATGCACCCACTCATGATACAGTCCTCAGTGTTGGGGTCTGGGAGATTCATGTCATTACTACAAAAACTCAAAGTCAAGTAAAAGTGCAGTGTCGGAGCAAACATGAGGGACACTGCCTTAAACTGAAGCCCAACTGCTCCTGGCTGCTTGGCCTGTTGCAGGGACACAGAGGAGGGTCCAGGCTTCACCATACCCAGTGATCAGTGGTCACAGAGACACAGAGAGTGAGGACACTGACTATATCCTCTGTGGTCAGTAGATGGGTTCACCAGGAATTTCTTACCAGAGTGGCCAAGAAGCTAGAGTGGGTTTTCCCACCTTGTCCTACAACTGTCCACTCTCTAATGGGATGAAACCACTATGTTATTTACAGAAAGGGGGGGAAAGTGTCAAAGGACCAGTAAGTGAGAGCAGCTCCCACCCACAGAGGCACAGCCACCAGGGGACCTACTGACCAGAGGGGTGAAACATGCCAGGTCACACTTGGGGTAACTGTGATACCCAGGAAGCCACAGTGAGTCCACTGGATACAATGTGCCCCCAGAGGGAGCACTGAAGTCTCATCAGTGTTTGTGGGCTTGAGAGAGCAGCATCCTAACAGTCACCTTCTACTTCCCCACCTTCAAGCCCCTGCTACCAAACCCACTGACGCCACAGACCATACTCAGTGCCTGACCCTGCAGAGTCCAAGGGTCAGTCCCAAGAATGCGTTCTACCAGTGAAAGGGGTGGCACTGATAAGGTGGAAACGGCACACAATGGAGAATTTTCGGAACTGGGAAAAGCAAGACAAACACCTTCAATCGTGATCTGACGCTGGCATCTCAGAAATCTGACAAGTCGGTCCTGGTGCAGACAAGGAGAATAGGGGAAAGAAGGCTCCCCATCTCCACATCAGCTTTACCCAGTAAGTGGTGCTGCTCTGCCAGTGTCCAATTTAAATTTAGGATGAATCTTTCACTCCCAGATACTGTGCTAAGCTGGCTTGTTGTTGGCTTTACAGTTTGTGCAGGGGGACCTGCCTTAGAGACCTCAGTGCTGAGAAAACATCATCCTATCTTTACCAAGCTGATGTGATGAAAACCCTCCAAGATGGAACTACACTGTTTTCTCTATTCCAGGAAAGACGTAAGAAGAACCCAGAGAACTGTAAACTTCTGGAAAAAGACCCTTTAAGTTTTTACTTTTATCTTCATCAATAATTATAATTAAGAACTATGTAACTCATATTACTAGAACTCACAAGTCCTGTAAAATACATACGCATTATCTGTATTTAGAAATAAGGACAAATCCTCAGAAATCAGGGCCCTTCTCAAAGCAAAGAAGCAGGGCAGAGTCAAGCTCAGGCTTACAGCTCACTGACAGCACTGCAGGGTCACGGGTTGATACAAACACCATCCAGAGGTCTCTGCTGTTGCTCTCAGGCCTTTCCAGGTTCACACATGCCCAGACTTGAAGGCTGCATAGGCACAGTAGGAGATGGACCTGAAGACAATGAGCCACCTGCCTGGCAGGAGAATGGGGGCTTGCCCCCCAAATCTTGTGTGTCTATACTTGTACTCTGCAAACTCAAGAAAAGTCAAGATGAGTCCTACACTATTTTTTTTTTTATTGTTTGCAAAGCCTACAGTTAACATCATACTATATTTTTTCATTAGAAATATTTACTCTGTACTTAGATTTTATAATATTTACAATTTATTTATTTTGAGTTGGAGTCTCACTCTGTCACCCAGACTGGAGTGCAGTGGCTGCTCCCGGCCACCGCAGCCTCGACCTGCTGGGCTCCAGTGATCCTTCCGCCTCAGCCTTCCAAGCAGCTGGAACTACAGGCGTGTGCTACCACACCCGGCTAATTTTTTTGATTTATTGTAGAGATGAAGTCTCACCAAGTTGCCCAGGCGGGTCTCGAACCCGCGGACTCCGGCAATTCACTCACCTCGGCCTCCCAAAGCGCGAGATTACAGGCTGAGTCATTGAGCCCGGCCATATTTACAATTTAAACAGTAGATTCACATGCCCAAGTTGTTCCAAAAGTATGTAAGAGTTTTCCAACAACTAAATCAAGTAGGTTTTAAAATTTTAAGAAAATTTCAGTTTCTCAGTTGCATGAGCCACATGTCAAGTGCTCACTCAGCTGCCACATGCTAGTGGGTATTGTGCTGGGCAGTGCAGCTTTACAAGATGGCCAGTCTCGCTCACAGACACCACCCACGTGTATTTTAGTAGAAGATGTGAGTCCATTTTGTTTAAAAAATATTTTTTAATTGAGGTGAAATTCACATAACAAAATGTGCCAATCAAAAGTGAATTAACTGGCATGTAGTACATTCACAAAAGGCATGCGATTATCACCTCTATCTAGTTCCAAAGCATTTTCATCACCCCAAAAGAAGCACCATATCCATCAGCAGTCAGTTCCCATTTTGCCCTAATCCTTCCCCTTACCACCCCAGCCCAGCCCCTGGCAACTACTGAAGATTTTACCTCTACAGAGTTACCTGTTCTGGACATTTCACACAAATAGAATCACACAGTATTTGTCTTTCTGTGTCTGGCTTATTTCACTTAGCGTACCATCCTCACTGTTCATTGATGTTGTATAGCATGAATCAGAACTTCATTCCTATGGTTGAATGATATTCCATTATATGGCTATACCACATTTTATTTATCCACTCATTTATTGATGAGCATTCACAATGTCTCCAAGTTTTGGCTTAATGCTGCTATGAACATTCATGTACAAATATCTGTATGAGTCCCTGCTTTCAATTCTTCTGGGTATTCACTTAGAAGTGAAATTGCAGGGTCAAATGGTGATCTATAATTAACTTTTTGAGGAAATGCCACATTGTTTCCATAGCAGATGCACCACTTTACATTCCCACCAGCAATGTACAAGGATTCCAATTTCTCCATATCCTGGCTGACATTTGATATTTTCTGTTATTTGACTACAGCCATCCTCATGGGTGTGGTTAGCCCACTGGTCCTTTATCCTGGCCACATGTAAACAGGCCTGCCACCTCTGCCAGCCAACCCCTGTCGAGTTTCCACCTCTTATTGCTGTAACGGCAACAATGAGGCAGCAGACAGGACCCGAGGTATTGTCTGTGAAGGTTCTTGTGACCTCTCTGAAAGTCCAAAGTCTCATCTGCAAAATTTTAGTACCTTAGTGCCCTTAGAATGTCTTCTACTACTCTATTTTCTAAGGATGAGCATACTAGTAAAAATAAGATTAATATTATGAATGTAGTTAATATAAACGGGCATTCTCACATTGTTCTTGACTTGCCGGGCATCCTCTCCACACCTGCTCCTTTAAAGAGTCCCATCTCTCACTCTGGGCCTGTAAGCGCCATCCATCCTTTTGTCCTTCCCAAACTCCAGATTTGTTTTTAATGGTCTCATAGCCCATACACTTTTGAGCTGACAACTTTCTTTATGCTCTGAATGTTCTCACATTCTATGGTTTAATTTATAACTGTTTCTGCTGTTTTTTTCCCCATAATTAACCACTTTCCTTGGAGTAATACTTCAGGAGGCCTCAGATTCGACTTCAAGTACTTAACCTTCAAAACCACTGAATGGTACAGAACACATCAGACTTGCAGGGCCGTCACATGACACTTGGTGCAGAATGCAGTGCCAGAAGTACACAGGTAAAATGTGCCTGAGATGAAGTTTAAAGGCCCTTCTCTAAAAATAACACCTGTGATAAAGTAGTCTAATGACTTAATATTTGCTTTTATTTTTATTTCAACATTTTGTTATTTTTTAAAAGTCAGTTTAGTGGAAATAGTTTGCACATAGTAAAATTCACCCTTTTGAGGTTACATTTCCATGAGCTGTTGTTATAATCAACCCATATGTCAGAAGTCCCATTCCCCTCTGTAGTAGTCCCCTAAGCCTATGAGGCTCATTTAGTGTGTCCGGAAAGTCACATACATGAAATTGAACAGCACACAGCTGTGTGTCTGTTTCCATCTCTGACACCTGACCATGCTGGGTTCCATGACACAGGCAGAACACATGCTGTGTTCCACCACCTGCTCATGGGATGTGTGGGCACTTCCAGGATTCAGCAATTAGGTACACAGTTGCTATAAAGATCCACATGATTTTACCCCTCCCTGGTAAATACTCAGTAGTATGTGTGTTGAGTCCTATGGTAAAAGTTGCTGTCCAGACTGATTGCTCCACC